CATACGTCGAGAGGACACTACTCTTGAATTGCCTACTCAGTCCAAAGTAACACTTGTTGGCAAGAGTGATTCTGCCTTGGATTTCCATGCTGACATTATTATCAGTGTTAATGCTGGTTCCCAAGTAAACGAAATTCTCTACTTTCTCGAAATTATAACTGTCAACAGTTTACTTGATGACTTCGTCTTGTCCTCGTTTACCAGCAGACCTATTCGCTTTGCTTCTTTATTCAACTTGGAAAAGGCAAAACAGATTTCGCGGTTTTTGTTACCGATGACGGGTAATTAGAGTTCGATTATTTGTATGTATGTAGATTACGGCTGGGATTTATATCCGGATTATTGTATATCTGATTTTCCAGATATTAACCGAATATGCGGCTAACAATTAATATCCGAACAGATATCCGAATACACGGCATAGTTCCATTCTGCTAATATGAACAGATTACTACAGCAGCCGGATTCCAACATTCGCTATCGCTAGTTTTAATTGCAAAAAAAACTCCAAAATAATAGCTGTCGCGTTTAACAACATTGCAACATCTAGTTACGTGCCTCACATACTGCCAGATTTGGCTGATTACACATTCTAACTGTTACTCTTCCCATGTTGTATACTTTCATGCCCCACTGCTTTTCATTTAGAGAATTTTGGCCAGGAAAATTCAGAGTAGCGAATGTCAGAATTCCACTGTTGACGCTAGAGGTATTTCCCTTTGTCAATTAACCTGCTTCTTTTGATAGCAATTCTAAAAAAGGGTACGATAGTTTATTAAGCACCTAGGGACGAGTTATTGTTGCCGACAGAGTGGGTATGTTTTGGGACGAATTATCGTTATCACTTGTCAAATTTGGTTTGGAGACAACCGGGCCTCGACGTTGTACCATTGTCAGTGTCATTACGCGTACAAACCCTGTTTAAGTTATTAGATAAAAAATTATTAGCATTATTTCTTATAAAATATCCCTTCAATTGTCACCTTTTCCCTTATTTACTGAAGAATCTATTTTGGTTCAATACAAACATCTGGTAATGTAATTATATAGCAAATAAACAGCCATGTTTGCTCATTACATTCCGTTATTCCATCGGGAATGTTGATATTATTATTAATTATTTCAATACTTATTAATTTAAATATCTTTCGTTAAACTAAGAGTGTACTGGTTTGAATTATTAACCAAATAAAATTTGTTTTAGATTTTTTTTTTTCGTTTCATCGAATCCAATTTGTGTTCTCGTTCGTCAGTTGATTAGTTTAAACATTCATAGCATATTATTTTAATTATAAAGTATGTAGATGAAAGCGTGCAAGTCAAACAAAACGTTTAAAGAGGTGCTGCAAAAATTTGTTAGGTCCAAAAAAGAAGAAATAATAGAAGAGCTGACTGAATATAGCACACGGTGCATAAGTATGCATTATTTTTTTCTATCATTGCTCGTATTACATTTTTTTTTTGTTAAATTGGTTAGACTCTGTAAGATGAGCTGCCTTCTTGCACTGCATACGCAAAATTTATGCCGTCACAAAATCTCCATCGCACACACTATATAATGATATATGTATTTATGTATAAGTATGGTGGTATAATCAGCTTTAGCCTGTTTGGCATTGTACGCTTTCGAAATGTGGTTGACCATCATCGTCATCTTCATCCATGCCACCATGTGCCCCACCAGGAACACCTTCTCCATATGGTGGAACATCCATCATTACCACTTCCTCAGCATCTTCGGGCATTGTGAAGGGTTGACGAGGCGGTAAGAGCGTCTCCAGCAAATGTATTTGGTCTAAGGTCGCAAAATTATCATCGGGGAAGTCAATATTGAATTCGACGAAAAGATCTCCGCGCTCGAAGGGATTATTGCGCATAGGCATACCCTCACCGGTGACAACTCTCAGTTCACTGTGTTTTATAACATCGCCCGGTTTGTTTGTGATGCATAATGTACGCCCATCTAAGTGTTGGAAACAATGGACGAATCCACATAGCGCTTGCGTGATATTTATGTGTATATCGCGCAGGAATAGATCATTCTGGCGTCGTATGAATATCGGATGTTCAGCTTGCACTAAGACGACAATAAGATCGCCACGTTCACCGACAAGCGGTTGATTGCCCGCAGAATGGAATAGTACTTTTAACATATTTGGCGCACCTTTCTCTATAGGCACTTCATGCTTTACCTCCTCTTCCACCAAACCACTGCCGCTACAGGTGATACAACGAAATCCCTCCGGTATGGTGGTGCCACGCCCATAACAAGACGGGCAGCTCTTCAAAAATACAACAAAAGCAAGTAAATTAACAAGCAATTTATGTTTTTCTTTTTTGTTGTGTATGCTTACAGATTCAAATGCGTTCACAAAGGCACCCATAAAAGAATAATTTGCCGTACGTCCCGTGCCATTACAGGCCTTACATTGCTCCACTGTCATCTTAGGCCCGCCTTCACCGTCGCATGCGGCACAATAGGAAGTACGTTTGTATTCAACAGGCTTGGAAACGTTGCCATTGTATACTTCTTCTAGAGTCACTTCTAGCTTTACCACAACTTGCGCTGCTTGGCGGGCACGACTATTGGCGGCACCGCCGCCGCTACCGCCTCCACCATGATTATGACCTCCACTGAAAGGAAACCAATGCGAAAAGAACTCGGAGGCATCACCGAATCCATCACTGCCCTCTTGCAGGCCTTTCAGTCCTAAGCGATCATAGATTTTACGTTTTTCTGGATCCGAAAGAATCTCATATGCGAATGAAATTTCCTTAAATTTATCACCAGCTTCTGGATTCTTATCCGGGTGAAATTCTTTAGCTAGTTTACGATAGTTCTGTAAAGATTTAATTCAAATATGTTAATTACATGTGAATATTTATCAACAAATGTAAAAGTAAAAAATGTAAACAAAGTCAACCTTAAGCGATCAGCTGTTTTGTGGAACGTATTTCCCAACAAAGAATTACTCTCGTTCAAAGGAAACAGCAAAACTTTATGAAAGTTGCTTCCTCGTTGTCGCGAGCGCGAATGCAGCAATTGCAACCAAGAGGATGTACTTCATCCAGGTAGTGACCACAACGAACTACAGATTCTCCCATTAGATCACTCCGTTTTAACCATATCCATTTTAAATAAAGTGCCAACAGCTGGCACTAGCCTTTCCTACACACACATTTCCATTAGCCTTGTTGATGCTTGCAATACATTCCGGCGGCCCACATACAAACTTGACTCATCCGTTGTACTTGCAGCGAACATACGTCGAATTTTTTATTAGTTACCTTTTTAATTTCTGCATCTGTTGAATTTTTATCCACTCCAAGAATTTCGTATAGCTCCACATGCTCCATGGCTGCAACTTCTTAATTTTCTCCAATATAAATCAATTTTCTTCAATACTTTCTACCGTCGCAAACACAAAATAACAATCGGAAAATTTTGCATTGAGAAAGCTTTCTGTCCTCTTTCCACGTTCGACGTTCGCCGACGACGACCTAGATATGACGTAAAAACATCGATGCATCGAAAAATTTCCACTCGATGTATCGATGCATGTACATTGAACCGCCATTTCAGGTCATGGTACAATAAAAACAGCTAGAAGCCAAATTGACATCAAACCTACAAAAGTCAAAGTTTTCGGGAGAGTAAAAATAAAAATGAGCGTGTGTAAGGAAAAATAAAAAATTCCATTTCACTGGTTGACGTTTTTAAGTAAATTTGAAGTTTAATTTTATTTATTTATTTTCTTTAGTTAAAATTTGTTAATTTGTTTGTTGTTTTCTGTCTTTGATTTATTAGTTGCAGTGTTGTTGGAGGGACTTTCCGGCATAAGGGTCATAGGAACAGCACTTGGCATCAAACGTGCCTTTCCTGTACCTCCCGGTGCATTTATGAAATCTGCTGCTTTAAAATGTTTAACGCACAGCAAGGCATTTCGCTGCAGCTCTACCCCACAGCTGCTTTCCCAACGCTTCTTACGCTAAGGACATTGAGGCACGTTAAAAAATTAGTGGCCTGTGATTTATATTTAACACCACATAAAAACAAGGCTTCAGGTGCTGCATTTTTAACACATACACTAAGTATAAGCCGCACAACACTACAAAAATTCAAATGTTAATTAAAATTTGTTTTTAACGAATATTCAAAAACAAAAATCAAACGACATGACATTTAAAGCGTAACGATATATAGGAAATAAAAGAAAACCAAGTTGAAGTTTAAAGGTTTGGTTCTCATCAGAGCAATGTCATTTTGGCTTCTACCTGTATTTATGTGCCTTGATTTCAGGTTTTCAATTGTGCACAAAAGAATAGTTTTGCCAAAAAAATAAAATGGTTCCAAACAGTTCCCCTAGAAACATAATTAGTTCAGTTATAGTAACTAATTCAAAACTTTGTACAATTCTGGTAGTAGCCTATTTTGTTTTAAAATCATAGCGGAGAAATGCAATGCAAATCGATGTATGCCCTTCGATGTATATTTCGATGCATCGAATTAGAAATGAGCACGGATATATAAATTTAAGTAACACATACATAAAAAACCCTAAGTCATAAGTATTTCAATTGCATCATCCGCGTCTTTCCTTTCCATGTTTACGCTTCGAGTACAAAATCACTTATGAGCCGCTCGCCGTTTGTAGCAAACGACAGCCAGCATGTTGGCGCACATGTGCGCGGATATGCTCGTCGTGTGTAGCTACTGTTATCTTTCCTTCTTTGATTAATTTCATTTCAATAACGTCGGATTGCATCATGCGGTAAGATGGCAACCCGAGTCGCAGATGTGAACGGAAATTTTCCACTGAGTGTTGCATTTGAAGAAAAAGGTACTTAATCAATGAGTTCAATGAAAATAATTTATAAACTGAAAAGTATGCACCCCAAAGCAAGTTATTCACCCATAGAATTAATTAAAATTGAATTATATGATGTAAAATGGTGCTTAAAGTGTTTAAAATTTACTAAATGGCTTGAAACATAAACTAATTCTACTCCGTTTTATACCAAGTTTGCGAATTTACCAGTGTGCTCACAGCAACCCAGCGACACGACGGCCATTTTTGTTAACGTCATTGACGAGCCACCGAAAAATATTGTCGTCTGTGCTTGGGCGAGGATCATTTGCTGCTTTTGCCGTGAAAAATATACGCAAAAATTAGAGAAAATTACGATAATTAACACCGAAATCGGTGATTGATATACCAGTTATAAGAATTAGTAAAAAAATCGCAAAAAATGTTCTATAAAAAACGCGGTTTTTCTTAGCAGAAAGTGTGAAAAAAAACGGTGGAGAAAAATTTTACATCAGCAAAAGAGACGAAAGGAAAATTTTGTGTGTACCAACGAAACTGCGACGAAAGCGTAACAGGGAACGGATAAACAAGGCGAAGAGTGAGTGCGAAAGAGTACGCGATAGTTGATGGGTAGCTGAAAGGTGGTGGGAAAGAGAGCGTATTGTGTTTGCATTTTGTCTTTCGTATTTAAGGAAAAGGAATTTTCGCTTTGCGAGTGTAGAGTAGGTGGTGGCCACTAAAATTCAAATGGAAATGATGGAAAGTTATGAGGAACCACATATTGGACCATCACATGCGGATCAGTGTGATTTACATGATGTGAAAATTCATGAAACATGTCTGTCGGCCAATTGCACTACTTTGATGGCCACTAAACAGAATTTCGATTTTGGCGCCGAAATTGTTGAAACACAAGCAATAGAATCGGAACGCGAAAGCGATATAAAAACAAACGGCGAAAGCATAGCAACAACTGCAACAGTAGCAACAGTGGCGGTAGCAGCATCCTCCGCCTCGCCCAATGTTAATCAATCATCAAATATAGAAACACCATTGCACGTAGCCGAATTACCAATAAAGGGTACTTTGGCTAACGATCATGGCAGCCAGGTTGATGAAGACGAAGTTGACGACGACGGCGGTGAAAGTTATCAATCAGATGATGATATGGACGAAGACGGTAATGAGGACTACCAACAAGAGTGCAGAGGTAATATGCATAATGATGCCTCACTTGATAGCGATGAGTCCACATCCGACTCGGATTTCTCTGACTTAAGTGGCCTATCGGACATGTCTGGCCGGGAATGGAAACCAATAAGCGCCAGGCCTATCAATTGGGTACAGAAACAAATACACGCTGGTGCTAATCCCCGTGACTTGCTTTCACAAATGTTGCCTTCCAACACACACCCGATTGCGCCGGGTGTGAATGATATGATGTTATGGCGTATACTTGCTAGCATGTTGTCAGAGCCACCGAGGCGTCAAAAACTACGTTATATAAACACATTCGAGGATGTTATTCAGCTAATTCAGCAATCTAAAAATATAATTGTTTTAACCGGCGCTGGCGTGTCAGTATCGTGTGGCATACCAGATTTCCGCTCGAGTGACGGCATCTACAGCCGCCTGGCCAAGGACTTTCCTAATTTGCCCGATCCGCAAGCTATGTTCGACATCAGTTACTTCTCACGCGATCCACGACCATTCTTCAAGTTTGCGCGCGAAATATATCCCGGACAATTTAAACCATCACCTTGTCATCGTTTTATAAAATTGCTCGAAGAGAAGCAGAAATTGTTGCGCAATTACACACAAAATATAGACACTTTGGAGAAGGTAGCTGGCATAAAGAACGTTATAGAATGCCATGGCTCGTTTTCGACGGCTTCGTGCACGAAATGCAAAGTCAAATGTACAGCAGATGCTATACGGGCTGATATCTTCTCGCAACGCATACCCGTATGTCCACGTTGTCAGCCCAATGTGCATCAGAGTGTTAATGCTTCTGACGCAGTGTCGGATGCAGATTTGAGACAGCTTGTGGAGAATGGCATAATGAAGCCAGATATTGTTTTCTTCGGGGAAGGTAAGCTAGCTTTTAAACTACCAATCCACTTAGTTTCAGTTTTAGCTCTTAAATGTAAATCTTTTTTCGTTAATTTCATAAATTTTTTTGATTGTAACTGAGTACATATTTCAATTATTCAAATCACGCACATGCAGGTCTTCCCGAAGAATTCCACACTGTCATGGCGGGTGACAAAGACAGATGTGACCTGTTGATTGTTATAGGTTCTTCCCTCAAAGTGCGGCCGGTAGCGTTAATTCCCAGCTCAATACCAGCCAATGTGCCGCAGATACTCATCAATCGGGAGCAGCTGCATCATCTCGAGTTCGATGTTGAATTGTTGGGTGATTCCGATGTTATCATAAATCAATTATGTCATCGCCTAGGTGATGATTGGAAAGAAATCTGCTATGATAGCTTCATATTGAAGGAATCCAAGGAACTCTTACCAGTGGAAGAGGAAGATACTAACGATGAAGGTGAGGAAGATGGCCAACAGATGCTAGATACAGACACACAATCAGTTAAGTCGAGCGCATCCACAGATTTGGCGCTACGTTCGACAGTTGCTTACTCGGATAGCGGGTTCGAATCGTCAACATCATCTGGTATGGTACTTGCTAAACAAAACATTGCAGCGGCTAGTAGTGAGGCTAAGGAGGCAATAGAAAAAATCAAAACCACCATATTGGAGATGCATCAGCCATTGACAAAGAAACGTCAGGGTAGCAAGCCAGTGTCAGTTAATTACTTAGAAGAGCCTAGTGATGCTGTAGATTTTGAAACTCGTTCCTTTCAACCATTTAATGAGCGCGTAAGTGAGCAGTACCACCACCACACGACATGTGGTGTGAATACACGTCATCCGTCAGTCGATTCAACCAAGGACAGTGGTATAGTGGGCGACTGCTCCATTTCGGCGCAGATTTCAAACAATGTCATTAGCATTCTGCCGCCACCGATTACAAATTTTGGTGATAGTGGAGGCACAAAAGCTATGAATGACCCCTTCACAGCTCTACCTACCTGCACAGATAACAAAACTACACCCGCGGCAACAGTAACAAGGACAGAGTCGCCGCTGCCACCGCAAATGGTAAGCGATACAGAGAAAACATCAACAGCGGTCACAATACGTCGCAGTGCTAAGAAATACCGTACTGCAGCGGAACGTTTGCTCGAAGGTACATACTATGCGCACGACACCGCTTCAGCTTATGTATTCCCCGGCGCACAAGTCTCATGGTCGTCCGATGTCGAAGAAGAGGATGAAGAAAATGGCATTATTGGAAATATGTACGATGACGTCGATGAGGATGATATCGATGCAAATGGCGGTCCGCTCTCACCACTCTTGCCGCCATCTGTGGAAGCAGAAGTAGTAAGTGAAATAACAACAACAAGTGCATTTGCAATTTGCGCCAAGCGAATGCTACCCGCGTCATACAGCATCAGCGGCGATATTAACCAAGCGGCGGATACGGAATTGCAAACCGATAGCTATAAAAATTCGAGTATACCAAGCAATACAACAGCAATAACCTGCAGCGCTAGGGAAACCACATGCGACAGTGTAAGTGTGACAATGCCGCCTTCTCCTTCACCATCGCCGCAAAAGAGAGCTTGTGAATGCCCTCCAATACGTGGTGGTGGTAGCGACAGCAATGTCGAAGCAAACGATAGCAGTAGGAGTAGTAATATTGGTAAATCTGAATGCCATGCGCCTCCCTTAAAGCGTAAGCGCTCAACAGATGATCAGAAAAATTTGGCCGCTGTATTTCCGGAAGTGTGTATTGATGCAACGCAAAGCGGTAAGATTGATGACACACCTCTTTTGAGTAGTGGTGGTGGTGGTGGCGCAGACGCCGGGTCGCCAAAGGTGTATGCAACACAGCTGGTTCAGAATTAAGATTACCACTCTTCCGGTTCTGATTGATTCGACTGCAGCAAACTTATTGGAAGTCATATAAGAAGAGAAACTACTACAACAAACACAAAAGTATGCATTAATTAAACTTATTTATTGTTTGCTACATATGTTTTTACAAGTATCGATAACTGTACATGCATTTAACGTTTGTCCAATTAAACATTTAAGTCATACACATACATACGTAAAGAGAACATAACTATTGGATTTTGATTTGCATTGAAATCCTCAAGCTTAAAGCGTGTAAGTGTGCGAAAAATTGAAAGAAATTTAAATTTTGGGTTTAATTTTCGTGTACATTTTTAGTGCTCAGAGTACACGACAATTCGGTCTACATATATGTAGTTTGCGACACCGAAAATATGTTTTAAGAGAATTAAAAATTTTTGCGTTTATTTCAATGAATTTATTTTATGATAATTAAATGCATCTGAAAAATGTTGCATGTTTTAGTTTTGCCTTCTCATATGCATGCAACACATGCCTTGTGCTAATAGTAATGCTATGCTGCTTTGCTGCAAATTGATCGAGTTACATTGAAAATTTTGAATTTTGTCTAACCTTTTACTAAACTTACAAGTATTTTAAAATAAACGCATTTTTTACGGACATGGTCAGCATATAAAGCCAGAGCCTCACCTATATACTGTAATATTTTATACCTTAGCTCTGCACATTTACGGTTCTATGCTCCAACTCCATGTGAGTTAGCTGGAGTTTTGAATGCATAGAATTCTGAACTCTTAAATTTATACATTTGTTAAACTTTTTATTTATTATATTTAGTTAAAATTTTTTATAGCAAAACATTTTCAAATATATCTGTATTTTTCAAATTTCCAAATTGTTTTTAGCTTTTATTTGCATTTCCTTCACTTTCTTTTACCATTTTTGCTAACTTTTTCTTTTAGTATAGCTTGTTCGTTGTATTTATTTACGATTTTGCAAATACATGCTCTGCAATATCGCTGTCAGCACTTCAAAATACATGGTTATCCATTTTCTGCTTGGTACAGTAAAGTTAAAAATGGCCCTGAATAATTAAATTTCAATTGACGTTAACCGATTTCTGTAATTATTTTATTTTTTTTTTTTAAGAAAGGGTAGTACCTCAGAGATGATAGCGTACTAAAGAAATTTGCTTGGTTTTAACGGACCTCAAAAAAAGGAGGTTGTTTTTCATATTACAGTTTGAAGTATGAATGCCGCGGGGCATGCCTCTTTAAAATATCTATCTATTAATGTATAGAAAAAAATATTATTCAAATGTCCTGACTTTTTCACACATTTCGGGTAATAAATCGGCCATTACTTGTTGCTGTTGTATCTTGCTGTTGAATTAGCATAGTTGCGGTATTACTAGCATAAACACAGGCGTTCGCTTGGACGCACTAAAAGGAATGCAAAAGCGTTAAATTGCTGCGACTTGGCTGCCATGCCTCATCGCCGAATATCGAAATCACCATTCTTAAACTAGCTCGCCAAAAGAGCTCCAATTTCATAACATTTTTTTGTAGATTAATAATTAATAAACGTTTAGTTCGGTGTGAAATAATAAACCTTTAACTAAAAATATACCCGTTTGGAAGGTAGTGCCATTTGACAATAATTAAATGACAGGACTTTACTTTCCCAAGCGCGAGTTGGATAAGCCTGTACCATAAATGATCATTTTAGATATTCTGTAGGAGAAGCAGAAAACGTTTATGATTGAAATAGGATGTATGAGAAATAGAATATACATTTCACTGTTTCGAATTATGCTGAGATTGCACATACATATGTATATATGAGCTAAAAATCGGAATCGATGCATTACAAGATGCATCATATTTTGTTCAGGTATGCTCTACGAAAGTATTTCGGTCGCTTTATGAATCTATATATATAAAAAAGAAAAACAAACAGAGCATCCCTTGCACAGCATTTGAAACCCTCAAAAGCCAACCTAGCTTGAATTATTTTAAAAATTTTTTGTTTCGCTTTCTGCTTCAAAACTACACATCCATTCAATCACTTGGGAATGCAAAAATGCGGTCATATCCTCATCATCATCATAAATAAATAAATCCTCATCATTCCCCATTTTTCCGCAGAGTTTTTTTTTTAAATGTTTGTAAGGAGAACTTAATTTTTTGTTTAAATAAATGGTTAGTTTCATATGCATATTCTTTAGGTGAATTGCCTGCTTTTATTCAGCCAATACCACGCACATTCAGCCTAAACGCAGATCACGTAGTATATCAACAAATATTTAGAAAACTGGTTCATTTATAGTACTTAGTTTTTAACTAAATAAATTGTATGTTTCTTACTTTTTCGAGGTTATGTCTTTCTTCATTTTATTTTTATTGAAATTCGAAATATAATCATTAGTGGTCTTCATCTAAAGTGATAAAGGGATAAATTGCTTAAATTTGCCAGTTTATACGCATCCTTTCATCAACGCGCCTTGGTAAATAATTGCATAAAACTATTTATTATTTAACTTATATGGCTAGTTACGTTTCATTCTTACCTCGTCCATAGTGTTCATTTACTTTTATGTGTTCGTGTGTAATGGTTGAATTTTGCTGAAATTTATAACTTTATCGACCAAAGTCGCTTGGTAAAGTGCTAAACTTTGGTTAAATAGATTTCCATACAAAATTTGACATTTCATTTATCAAAATGATAAATTTATTACTTTATCAAGTTTATCAAAAGTTTATCACTTTTGATGAAGACCCCTATTATTTATGTTTATATATTAGAGATAGAAATTCGCATTTAAAACGTTTTAAAGTCGATAACATCTGACAATTCACATCTCATGGGAACGAGCAAAAACTTGTCATTAGATTAGGGGCGCAGAAGTTGTTGGAAATATTTTAACACCCAAAAACGCCAGATCATTTCACCAAGTTTCATACATATCTAGAAAACGCTTATTTATTACTAAAATTCGTGGTGGAAGGATAAAGATTAGCAACCCCCCAGACAAAAAAAAAAATTCTCAAAAATCAACGGTAATTTTTAGAGACTTGAAACTGGACAGGTTGAAAATATCGATGAAATTTTTTTTGTATTTCTTGAATTTTCCCGAGTTGTATATGAAATTTAAGAAACAAATTGATTCTGCTGGTCTTTGCTGTTGAATGAACTATATTTTTTTATAAAAAAAAAGAAAAAACTGGTATGGAAAATATAGATAAATACAATCGTCAAAACGTCACAGTATTCGTATTTTTGCAACATGGCGTATGAGCATTGTGCAATTATAAAAAAAAATACGCTGGCCTCTCTTGTGTTAAAAAATACTTTATTGTTTAGTTAATTTTATTTACGTATTGAAAGAGGACCTTACTTTCGGTGAAAAATAGCGCTGGGACTCTACGAATATTGGTGTCTACGGATAAAATCCGAATACTGTGGGTATCGTTAATTTTGTTATCCGCATAACCGGTTAATATCCGTTCAATTGGTTATCCCGTCATTCTAAACCGTACTTCAACGGGATAGCCCTAGTCACAACCATAGAAAATTAACTTCGAAATTTTACTTGATATCATGAAGAAGCTTCATATAAGAATAAACGGCTCTACGGAGTCGGGGGAGAATTTTCAGCAACAACGAAAATTATAACACTGTAAAACAAATTTTAAAAAGTTGTAGGTGATGTGAATCGGACCGACTGCATTCGATAAATATGGTCAAATGATGTAAAAGGACCAAAGGATTTGAAAAAGATGATTACCATTTTGTATGTCTATTTGAAGTTTGAGATCTAAGATCCGAAAATGACAAATGTATGTATGTATGTATAATTTTTCTTAATTTTTAAAATTTCATTTTGAAATCAAAGTTAATTGAAAGAAATTACTTACTTGAGTCACAAATATTATGAAAAATTTATAATAAAAGTATTTTCAATTATTTTCCAATTATAACGATTGTCATTTCCATGAAAAGCATTATATTTTTAAATAAAACGTGTTTTCCTAATGAATTTATTTTTTATGTACTAGTATTTTATTATTATTTTAATATCTTTAAAACACGGCCTCAAGCTCAATAAAATTGTTGAATATAATTAATATTTTCTGATAATATAATTCTATACTTGAACCTTGATTTTTTTGTCACTTTAAAGCAAAAATATATTTCATATTATATTTCCAAATCAGCACTTAAATATCCATGTGATTTAAAAAATAGTCGATGACCACACACAAAGCAAAAATAATTAAATTATTTTGACAAACATTTATTTTAACAGAAACACTTTGTAGACCGATTACTATTAAAAAAAAATACCTCGTGGCATTGATCAGCACCGCCGTCGCACAGTGGCACAAAACTTGAATTTACTGTTTAAAATAGTCCTGAGCTTTCATTTTGCAACCTGTTTTTTTTTTTATCTTTTTAATGAAAGCTAATAAAATTTAAACAGATCTGTTAAGCTCGTTTAACGATTTTTTATATTGAATTTTTTAGAAGTGCAGCGAAAGTAGCAATTTTCAAAAAAAAATATTATGGTCCTGTTAATAAATGTTACATAATAAAAACTATTGGAAAACATTTGTTGGGTTCGCGAAAACAAAAAAAAAATCACCAGAAACATTTGAAATGTTGTAAAAAACTTTTCACCAAATTTAATATTTGTAAGCAGTTTTATAGGCCATTAGATTTTAGTATATAAAGTGCAAGTTTCAAGTGACTAAGAATTCGCGCCAATTAAAATTTTTTTTGCTGAAATTTCGAGCGCACTTTATTTTATGCATTCGTATGTATGGGTACGGTGACCATCCGTCCTGTCTTTGCAGGACCGTACTGATATTTAAAGGTTTATTAAAAGTTCAAGAACCGGGCTCATTTAAACAAATAATAATAATAAAGCAAACGTCACAAAAATGTAGAAAATTATACTTGTTCATTTTTTGGGTCTTAGATCTACAACTTCAAATCGATATAAAAATATGATAACCAACTTTTATAAATCTTTTGGTATTTATTCATATTTTGACCCCCTAAATAAATGCATTTTTTGAATGTTGCACTGTGTAATTTTAGGCGCTTATTCCACCTTAAAGATGTTTCCTTACGGATTTCAGAATTCTGTTCGATTTTTTTTTGGACAGAGGATTTCTTTTTTATCGACTGTGTCTGAGCATTTTCACAATTGTGCTTCGAATTATTATAATTTTTTGCGATCAAGTGTTTTTTTATATTCATCTGCACATTTCGTTATTTTAAGGAATTTCAAAGTCAAATTATTGTTACAAACAGTTTGTGC